ATCTGAATTTTGATCACATGATCATGGGGATGCTACAAAGGTTGCAACTGTGAAAAATGGTCATAAGTCACTTTTTCCAGTGCCGTCGTAACTTTGAATGGTCATTAAATGAACTGCTGTAAGTCAAGGACTACCTGTACTTAATAAAGCACTTTAAACAATGAGTCATTCAGCTGCAGCCCATGTTCTAGATAGCCTTCTAAAGCACCATCTCCCTGGAAAATCTGAAAGCAGCCATTCTCACAGCCTGATTCCCCTTTTTCACTCACCACCTCTTTCTCAGATTTGAAGTCTTCTTCCAAGGAACGCATTGCATCAAGTTGTTCTGACAGATTAGGTGGAATGGCAGCAAAGGTCTTATAAACTATCGAGAAACAAGGAGGAAAAAAAGCTATGAATATGGTCAGGTAGATCTTGCAACAAAATAATATATAATCACCCATGCCCTGCCTTGCCCATTCCCCATCTTTTCAAAGTTCTGCTCCTTTCCCCACCTCTGTTCTAAAGTAGTAGCATTCTTCATGACTTGAGAACAGGTTAAATCTTTCTCATCTATGTAGCCCTAGAAATGTAATTTCCTCCCATCCTTGAGAATGGGAATAAGGCTGGCAGTGACCTTAGGTTACTTCAGCGGTGGGCTGGCAACGACACAAAGGCTACGCTGTGAGGCCCCATCTTAGAGAAAATGTTAGTGCAGTGTTCCCACGAAAAGCGGAACGTTGTGGATGAGCTTTTTCTTGGGCTCTTTCCTTTTTATCAATACTATGAGATTCATCCCTTCAAAAGGATCCTGGCCTTTTCTGATTAAAAAATGCTGACCTCACCCCTTCTGCTCCCACAAAATATACGGAATGATGATGAAGAGCGCAATTTTGCTTTTCAAAAATACTTCAGCAATCTCTAGGTCAGTGATGGCGAACCTATGACATGTGTGCCCAAGGTGACATGCCACAACACTTTTGAGGACATACCAGCGTTCACCAACACCCGACAGCTCTCAAAAACATACCCCATTCTTGTGTGATTTGTGGAGGCCATGGGAGAATGGATATGCTCTTGTACAGCCTCCAGAAATTGTCCATGCTCTTGCGCAGCCTCCAGAGCACTCCAAAACTGTGTGCTTTTGTGTGGCTTCTGGAGACCGCAGAAGCCATGGAAGAGAATTGTCCAATGCCGCTTCAAGAATGAAGGCCTTGTGCAACCAGGAGCAACCTCACACAGGCTGCAGGGCCTGTCAGCAGAAAGAGAACAGGTAAGGTAAACAGAGCATGGTAGCTCCCAGGAAGTGCCGTGCTGCAGGGTCAATCATGTCCATTTTGAATGGTGATAGTGGCGCTTGGACTGAAGTCAAGGCCCGGACCTTTGTTTTAGGGCCAGCCTCAGCACTACCACTGAATGCTGCAGTTTGGGATGGCTAGATGGGGGAGGGGAAGATAATTGTTTTTCTTTAATTGTGGGGGAGTAGGAGGGGATGACACGCCAGCAGAGTCAAATTAGGCATTTTCTGAAATTTTGACATGCCAAGCCCAAAGGGTTCGCCATCACTGCACTAGGTTTATTCACATTGTGTTCTTGGGGTATCAGATAAGTTTCGATGAAGGAATTATTATATAACGTGGGGTGAAAGGGGTTACATGCACATGCAGTCCGTACGTGCATCAGTGAGGAAGTCCTGTAGCCTGCGGAGATCAGAATGGCCACACTTGTAGTAGTCCAGCATGGCGATCTGGTCTCTGAGAGTTTGGTAGAGGTCATTCAGCTGGGAAAGGGAGCGCAGGGCATCCAGGGTCTCCGCATAGCGAACTGGAGCCAAATTGGTCGAAGGGGAAGGCGTCTCAGAATACCCCATAGGAGTGGTCGAGGGGAGGAAAGGAGATGATGGGGGTGTAGCTCCAACACCTAGCACAGGTTGCACAGTCAACTGATCTGCTGGAGCAGCAAGTAAGGCAGGATATTGAAATCCAGGTGGAAAGAGCCCGGGCACTCCAGGCTGGCCAGGATATCCAGTTGGGACTCCAGGATAGAATCCAGGGTCACCAGGATATCCGGGTTGTGTCCCAGTTAAAGCTCCAGGGTAGACTGGCTGAACCCCAGGGGCACCAGGATACTCTGCCTCAATCCTAGGAACACCAGGCTGGGTCCCAGGAGCACCAGGTTGAACATCACGAGCACCAGATTGGGCACCAGGAGCACCAGGTTGGGCACCAAGAGCACCTGGTTGGGCCCCTGGAACACCAGGATAAGGAGCTTGAGCCCCAGGTGCCCCAGGATAGACCCCAGATACTTCAGGATAAGATAACTGGACTCCAGGAACTCCAGGCTCGGCCCCAGGAATACCAGGCTGAGCTCCAGGTGCCCCAGGTTGGACCCCTGGACCCCCTATATATGGAGCTTGAGCACCAGGTGCTCCAGGATAGGGCGGTTGGCCTTCAGAAACTCCAGGTTGGACCCCAGGAAAACCAGGCTGGGCTCCAGGATATGGAACTTGGGCCCCAGGAGCCCCAGGTTGGGCCCCTGAAACCTCAGAATATGGGGCCTGAGCTCCAGATGCATCAGGATATGGGGTCTGGGCTCCAGGACTTCCAGACTGGGTCCCAGGTGCTCCAGGATAGGGCACTTGGGCTCCAGGACCTTCAGGCTGGGCCCCAGGTGCTCTGGGATATGGTGCTTGGGCTCCAGGACCTCCAGGCTGGGCCCCAGGTGCACCAGGATAGGGCGCTTGGGCTCCAGGAGCTCCAGGATAGGGCGCTTGAGCTCCAGGATCTCCAGGCTGGGCCCCAGGTACTCCGGGATATAATGCTTGGGCTCCAGAACCTCCAGGCTGAGCCCCAGGTGCCCCAGGATAGGGTGCTTGGGCTCCAGGATCTCCAGGCTGGGCCCCAGGTGCTCCAGGATAGGGCGCTTGGGCTCCAGGACCTCCAGGCTGGGCCCCTGGTGCTCCGGGATATGGTGCTTGGGCTCCAGGACCTCCGGGCTGAGCCCCAGGTGCCCCAGGATATGGCGCTTGGGCTCCAGGACCTCCAGGCTGGGCCCCTGGTGCTCCGGGATATGGTGCTTGGGCTCCAGGACCTCCAGGCTGAGCCTCAGGTGCCCCAGGATATGGTGCCTGGGCTCCAGGACCTCCAGGCTGGGCCCCAGGTGCTCCAGGATATTGTGCTTGGGCTCCAGGACCTCCAGGCTGGGCCCCAGGTGCCCCAGGATAGGGGGCTCCAGGACCTCCAGGCTGGGCCTCTGGAACCCCAGGATATGCAGGTTGAACCCCAGGTATACCAGGATAGGGACCCTGGGACCCAGGATAAGTCCCAGGTGCTCCAGGAAAGGGAGCCTGGGCTGCAGGTGCCCCAGGATAGGTCCCAGGTGCTCCAGGAAAGGGAGCCTGGGCTCCAGGTGCCCCAGGATAGGTCCCAGGTGCTCCAGGAAAGGGAGCCTGGGCTCCAGGTGCCCCAGGATAGGTCCCAGGTGCTCCAGGAAAGGGAGCCTGGGCTCCAGGTGCCCCAGGATAGGTCCCAGGTGCCCCAGGAAAGGGGGCCTGGGCTCCAGGTGCCCCAGGATAGGTCCCAGGTGCTCCAGGAAAGGGGGCCTGGGCTCCAGGTGCCCCAGGATAGGTCCCAGGTGCTCCAGGAAAGGGAGCCTGGGCTCCGGGAGCCCCAGGATAAGTCCCAGGTGCTCCAGGAAAGGGAGCCTGGGCTCCGGGTGCCCCAGGATAAGTCCCAGGTGCTCCAGGAAAGGGAGCCTGGGCTCCGGGAGCCCCAGGATAAGTCCCAGGTGCTCCAGGAAAGGGAGCCTGGGCTCCGGGTGCCCCAGGATAGGTCCCAGGTGCTCCAGGAAAGGGAGCCTGGGCTCCGGGTGCCCCAGGATAAGTCCCAGGTGCTCCAGGAAAGGGAGCCTGGGCTCCGGGTGCCCCAGGATAGGTCCCAGGTGCTCCAGGAAAGGGAGCCTGGGCTCCGGGTGCCCCAGGATAAGTCCCAGGTGCTCCAAACTGAGGTGCAAATGGTCCTGGAACCCCAGCAATGCCTGGCAGTGCTCCAGGGACAGCTGCTCCACTTGGAGCCCCTGGTGCTCCTGCCTGAGCTCCTGGTAATCTAGTTGATGGGCTCTGGCCTCCTTCTGTTCTCTGGGCAGCAGTGCCAGGTTGAGATCCCACAGTTTTGCCTTCTGGTGAGGTTGAATCAGTTGGAGAGTGTTGGACTGGACTTGTCTCCTAAAAGGAAAATGGAAAGGGGATAGATTTAATAACAGGTGAAAGAGAACAAAAATTTGATTACTAAAAACACAACACATGGGGCAAGATTAGTTGTATTTTTTAAAAAATGCAATTTTCTATCCCTGACAAAAATATTATAGCCCGAAGTGATTAAACAATGCTGGTGCATAATTAGAGAATGTGAACAATTTCAGATAGAATTTGGCATGGCTTTTGATCTTTGGTCACAGATGAATAAAACTGATTGAGAGTTCAGACCAAGAAGCAGAGTCCCTGATCAGCCTGGCTTATGGTAGCTCAGTTACTTCACCACAGCCTCACTCATTTTTGCAGAGCTGTTGTGAGAATAAATGGCTACCCTAAACTCCTCAGTGGAAAAGTGGAATAACAATGTGAGAGGATGTCTCTCAAGCAATATATTTTCATGTCTTTAATTTACCCAAAACGAAATGGGATAGTAACAGTCGCACCAATCAGAGAATGTATTGATTTGAACAGGTGACCTTTCCTTTAAACCAGGGGTCTTCAAACTTGGCCCTTTTATGACTTGTGGACTTCAACTCCCAGAATTCCTCAGCAAGGCACGCTGAGTCATAAAAGGGCCAGGTTTGAAGACCCCTGCTTTAAACCATCAACAAAACTTGTTTGAAAAGAAAATTCCATCCCCAATGAAAACCTCTCTAAATGCAAAAGTATCCATTAAAAGTATCCATAAACTTGTATACATCCACAACAGGGGGGTATCTGAAATGGTGACAGAAGGACAAAGTGCATTTATACTCATTCATTATCTATACACTAATGCTCTCTGTATGATAAATAAACAAGTTGTCTTTGAACTCTTCCCTCAAGAAAGCAAACATAATTTCTAGACATAGTAGGATGATTTCTATACAGGAATATAGAAAGGATATACTTTTACAAGAAAAATGAATAGAAAAGGAGAATTAACATGGTATGGTTTAGCGCTATATGGTTAAAATTCAGGTGAATAAACTTGATGATGCCACAGAAAATGTTTGAATTAAAATAAGAGGGGAACAACTAAACCATATTTAGGAAGAAAAACTAAATGAATAGGTATACCTTTTATCTGGTTCAACAGTAGTAATTGCAAGAGGAATCTTGCAATCACTTAAATATCAGCCAGAAGAGTGCTGCCGCCGCCAAAAAAACCAATGCAGTCCTAGGCTGCATTAACAGAGTTACAGAATCAACATTATGTGAAGTGTTAATACCACTTTATAATGTCTTGGTAAGACTATACTTGGACTATTGCATTCAGTTTTGGTTACCATGATATAAAAAAGATATTGAGACTCTAGATCAGGGGTGTCAAACTGCCGGCCCGCGGGCCGAATGCATCATAGCAAAACCGCACCCACCCCATTTCCAGCAATGGGAAAAAAGTTGTGATACATTGTGACATGTCACGTGACGTTGTGAGTTTGACACCCTTGCTCTAGAAAGTGCGCAAAGAAGAGCAACAAAGATGATTAGGGGACTGGGGGGTAAAACATACGAAGAATGGTTACAGGAATTGGGTATGTCTAGTTTAATGAAGAGAAGGACTAGGGGTGACATGATAGCAGTGTTCCAATATCTCAGGGGCTGCCACAAAGAAGAGGGAGTCAAGCTATTTTCCAAAGCACTGAAGGCAGGGCAAGAAGCTATGGATGGAAACTAATCAAGGAGAGAACTGTCTTAGAACTAAGAAGAAATTTCCTGACAGTTAAACAATTAATCAGTAGAAGTTGTGGGTGCTTCAACACGGGAGGTTTTTAAGAAGAGACTGGACAACCATTTGTCTGAAATGTATAGGGTCTCCTGCTTGAGACTGAAGACTGCAGAAAGTACCCCATCTCTTAAAAAGGCAGATAACAACATGTGAAACAAAACAAAGCCAAAAAAAAAACCCCACCAAAAAACCCAGAACAGTTCAGTTCCTACTTTTGATTCAGCCTTGACCTGCAAAAGTACATTTGTTCCTTCAGGTAAATACAAAGAGCAGGTTGAAGAGGTAGGGTTGAATTTTGAGACTGATAGAAATATATTAGAGAATATCTATTTCTAATTATTTAAATGTCAATGTCCAGATTAATCTTATTTTAGAATAAAAATAAAGCAATTTGCTGATAGCACGAGCAAACCATTACGTATTGATATGAGAGGTCTTGGAGAAATAGTGAAGTGCCAGTTGACTGGGAGAGGACAAATGTTCTCCTTAACTTTATATCTCTCTATAAATTTTAGCCATTATACTGTACTTATAAACTGCTGGATGAATGATATGGAAGGTTCCTTCTTTCTTCAAGAATTAAGGAGGAGAGAGAGATTGCACGGTCCATATCCGATAACTCTTTCACATCAGAAAGAGCAATTAAATTTGTAATGTACAAGAAAATAGGTGTCAGTACTAAATAATCAAACTTATTTTGGGATTTTTCTTTCTCCAAATGTGTTACAAGTTGATAATGTATGTTTATCACGACTTATCTTCAGCACAAATCCATTATGGGAACATGACATTCTGAGTCATACTCACAGGAGACGGGCTCTTGCCCTTCACAAGGATATCTTCAAGAACTTCCCACCGTACCATTTCTTCTGGGGATGGGAATTGGTTTAACCTCTTCTCTAAATCTTTCTAGAAAGGAATCAAAACCCAAACATATGAAAATCATCCTTTCTGTCCCATACATTCTGTCCACCATCTTTTTTTCATCATTAAGAATTTGGAAGCCCAGGTAATTACTTTAGATAACAGCATCAAATTAGGAAGCAAATTATCCAGCAATTAGTTGCTCCAGGACTCACTATCCTTTCCCTTCTCGTTTCCTTGTTCCTTTTGGGTTAAGTCTATTTAAGACCATCAGCAGGGATTGTCATCACAGACATCCCTGAAAGCACATATGTCACGATGGCATGACTCAGATATGCAACTTACATACTTTTGTCAACTGTAATCATGAAAACGATGCAAATTACAAAACGTATCGTCTGTACAATGACATCATAGCAAGAGAAAACATGGAGAAGATGATTTGAATGAATGACAGCCTTGCTTAGTTTGGACCTGCCAATGTGCTGAGACTTTGCCCCCCCCCCCAAAAAAAATGACTATGTACCAATTCAGAGAGCTAGACGGTGAACCTGGAGATTACAAATGAGTTGTGGAGTTTCTCATGCCACTAATTTGCAGCAGAAGCCCTGGGGAGGACTGTCAGAGTTCATCTGCATGATCTCTGGCAGCTTTCTATAAAGTGAACCTGATAATGCAAGAGAAAAGTGGGACTGCCCAATTTTGGTGCCAGTAAGAAGCAGAATTCCTTGGCAAATAACAATGCCAAGCTTGCACACTAAAAGAGCTTCAGACCAGATTGAAAGATGTAGTTAACACAGAGCACCTGGGGCAATTGGATAAACTGCTTCAGACACTTTGGATTCTACTACACCAGGGGTAGGCAACCTTGGCTCTTTTATGACTCGTGGACTTCAAGTCCCAGAATTCCTGAGCCAGCCATGCTGGCTCAGGAATTCTGGGATTTGAAATCCACGAGTCATAAAAGAGCCAAGGTTGCCTACCCCTGTACTACACCATCACTACGGGGTGTTTGAGCTGGCAGAAAAATTACTTTTCTGTGGAAGGCAAGAACATACCAAATCGTGATCCAAACTACTCTGATCGCTCAGGCAAGTATTTAAACGATCATCAAGCCCACGAGGATCTAGCTGCAAAATAAAATAAAAGTTTGGGTTACGCTTTTTATTCAAATAACAGATGTGATTATGAATAAGTGCTAAACATGTCATAATGGTAAGTTAAATATTTTGCCTGTTTGCTCACGTAGGGGAAATTCAAACAAACAAACAAACAAAAAGAATGCCTTAGTCAAAGCAAGTGTATTGCTCTGGGGGCCATTTTTTTCTCTTATAAGTCTGAGGGGCAGGGGGAGAGGGAGAGTAAACATCTCCAATCCCAGAGTGCAAAGAAATGAAAACAAGCACCAGGAGATAAATTGGTCTCAAGGAACAGCTCTTGAGTACAGTTCATTTAATATTACTCAAAAATATAAACAACCACCAATATGAATAGCGTCTATGAATATAAACAGTTCCAAGCAGGGTGTTCTTTTTTTTTTTTTGGTAAAATTATAGTGCTTGGGTTTGATAAATTCAATGTTGATAGATATTGAGGGAGTCTTTTAGGCATTGCTCCAATGACTCCAATCACAATTGGCGTAACAACAAATTTCTTTTTCCATAAGCGTTCAACTTTGATCTGCCAGTCCCGGTTTTTGTACATTTTTCCAATTGTTTTTCCTCAATCCTAGCATCAATAGTGCTAGTGGCATCAATAAACCCAGACTTTCTTCTTTTCAATAACTGTTTTATATCAAGCCTGTTATGAAGAAGATGCATGTCTGTTTGGATCGTAAAGTCCCATAAAATTTTAACCTGGTCATTTTCCAAAACCTTCTCCATTTAATGGTCCCCAACATTTTTACTATAACTTCTGGCAAAAGTTTCCAATAAATAATTTACAACCCTGCTTGTAGTCACTTTGTGAAATTTTGCTGCAGCCACTGATCAAACAGTCAATTGTTTCATCCTTTTCAACAGAAAGACAATATTTAGTTGACAAAGTTTAAGCAGCTAAAATAAAGCCTTCAGTTTCTTTTTTTAAATGCTCCTGATCTTAACCATGTGTTTTTTTTTAAATTTGCTTTTTCTTCAGTATCCTTCAAATATTGGCCATGTATTGGCTTGTCCTTCCAATTAACAAATTTGTTTTCAATTTTTTTTTCTATATTCAGCTTTCGTCTTTGTTTTTTTCAAGAGCTTTCCTTCACTGACTTCTTTTAGCAAGGGCTCTTGGCTTTTCTTACAACCAATGACTGCCAAATGTAGTCATTATTATTATTGTGCTTGGTCCCATAGTGAACCAAATAATATTACTATTATTATTATTGTTTGTAGTACTATTAAAGTACTATTTATTAAATTATTTTCATAAAACAAAATATTTGAAGCTCAATGAACAATATGAAATTTCATGAAGGGGTTAATGAATTGAAGAGTTTGGGGGACTCTGACCTACAGTAGTCCCCCACCCCTTGCAGTACTGATAAAATAATCTCTTTTCAATTTTCAGACAAGGTAGAGAAACTCTGATTAATTCTAGTGGGCACTTTCACATCCACACACCCTCACCCTAAATAAACTGTATAGAAACTTGACCAAATCAGGGCTGTTGCAGGAGACAGTTTATATCCCACGCTACTTTTGCCAAAACCTCAATCAAGAGGTTTGATTGTATACCCCACCTTAGTAATTTCTGAAAAAATCACGAACTCAGTGTACAGGTAATCCTCAATTTACAATCACAATTGAGCCCAAAATTTATGTTGCTCAGCAAGACATTAGTTAAGTGAAATTTGCCCCATTTTACAACCTTTCTTGCCAAAATTGTTAGGCGAATCACTGCAGTCGTTAAATTAGTCACGTGGTTGTTAAGTGAATCTGGCTTCCCTACTGACTTTGCTTGTCAGAAGGTTGCAAAAGGGGATCCCGTGAGCCTGGGACGCTGCAACCGTCATAATATGAACCAGTTGCCAAGCTTCCGAATTTTGATCACAGGGATGCTACCATGGTTGTAAGTGTGAAAAGTAGTCATACGTCCCTTTTGTCAATGCTGTTGTAACTTTGAACGGTCACTAAATGAATGGTTATAGGCTAAGGATTATCTGTACTTCTTTGTATGGATCAGCCCCTGTGATTCCAGGCCCACAAAACAAAACAAAGCGTTTGAACTATCGCTCTGCCTTGATTTGTAAACTTCTGTCTCTTGTTGAAAAGTAAAAGACAATTCAACCTACCCTTGATATCTGTATAGGGATTAACCCCACTACATTCCACAGCTCTCCCTTATATATATTTACGTGTGCATGAACGTGTGTTTTCATTTGGAAGTGAGTGCAGGCAGTGCCAAGTCAGACTACCAAACTGGTAAAATCTAGATCCCTGAGGTTTTAAGAAAGAAGAAAACAACCAAGTCTTGAACATATGCAGCCAACTCCCAAAGGTTTGCAGGCCCAACAGAGCAAAATAAAAGCTGCTTACAAAAGCTAAGTGCTCTTTGATTTTCTTTACTTCGTCCTCCAAGTTGCTTGTGGCTGACTTCATGTTGCTTGTCTCATCCACTAAATCTTGTAAGAGGGACATAGCCTACAAAAGGAAGAGAGTGAGAAAGTGAAAAGTGAATTTATTCACTCCTCAAAACAATTGATTAAGGATGATCTCTAGTTTAGCCCTTGCCTTTCTCATATTTCTGAGGTTTGAAACCAAACAAACATACTATAGGAAATCTATGCTTAAATCTCACAAACTAATGTTATTTCAAAGCAGTTGGCTGTACTTAAAGAATGCTTTTCCTCTGCAACAACCCCCCGAGATCCGGACGATTCCGGATCTCCTAACCTTCCGCCGCGCCCTCAAGACATGGCTTTTTCAGCAAGCGGGACTGACCTAGGGTGAATTTTAAATAGGGATAATTTTTAATGATTTTTAATAAGAGACACAGCTACAAATATTTGGTTTTAATTGGCTTTTATTGGGGAAATGTGCTATGTTGTTTTAATATGCTGTGAGCCGCCCTGAGTCCCGTGGGGAGAAGGGCGGCATATAAGTCAATGTATTAAATTAAATTAAATTATTAAATTAAATTAAATTAAATTAAATTAAATTATTAAGTCAGGAAAATGCAGAATTTTATTCTTAAGGAAAAATGAATACTTTCTCAGGAGGAATCTAGGTCTCTGTATTGATCATTCTTTGGAAATTAATGTAAGGCTACTGAAGGGATCAGAAAGTATTCCACCAAATGCTAGTTTAGAAGGAGAGGCCACAGCTTCCCCTCAAGAATCAAAATAATTCTTAACCAAATAAGCGGAGAGAATATTCAGAGCAGCAACATATTTGAATTAACTTTCCTGAGTTCCCTGTCAGCCAAAAGGGAATAAACACAAATAGGATTGGCCCTAGGGGAGAAAAGTATGTTCCAATTTCTAGAACAGGCCATGGAAGGAGAACAAGGAAGCCACTGGCAGTTGAGACCAACAACATTCACTGAAGAAGAACACTTCCATCCAATGGAATCTTCAAATAGCCCCATCACACATTCTTTTTTAAAAAAAAATTTCAGGAAATCTTGAGAAGGAAAAAAAAAGATGTCTTGAGAAATCAATGTAGTTAAAATAAAAAGATTCCACAAAATGTCCATTTAAAAGAAGCATTCCTATTCTATTTTCATATATTTCATAGTATACAGTATATCATCTCCCTGATGATCATCCATGTCTGGCTCTGTCCTTCCTTTATCATCATATCATAGATTTGATGCAACTAACTCTACTTTAAAAAATATGTTAAAAAAAAATCTAACCATGCTTAGATGCTGATTCCAGTCTACCTTTATTTTTTTATCTGTGGTGGAAGAAATTTAGGTACAGGAAGACACACTGCTTCCGAAGAAGAGTTAATGCCCAGAATGCTAGCCAGAAACTCTCAAATCTTAGCCCAATGTTTAGTGGCTGCATTCAGACACTGTGCTTGCTTTAACCTTGCTTTATTAAAGCTCCCATTACTGGCTAATTTACACAGCCATGACCCATGCTTTAAAGCCACAGAGGAAATGTTCATATAACACATCTTAAACCAAACACACAAAATAATTTAATGTGATGTATAAACCCAGCTCCTCCTTCTTCTTTAGCCAAATGGTATCAGGGTCCCAATAGCTGTTTCAGGAGTTTTTGGGTTGCTGCTATTTCTACCATCCTAGCAATGAGAAGAGTAAAGGGGGAAAAAAAGTCCTCATTCTCTTGGAGAGAGATTGGGCAACAATGCCCCTGTGGTGAGGAAGAATAGTTCTAGCATTAATATTACTAATACTAGAACTAGTATTATTGCAATTCTGTAAATAGTTATTAACCTCAATGGAGAGGGGAAAAAAACAATACAGATATTCTTTTCTATTCCAGCAAAAATGGTAACTCTGATGTCTCAAAACATAGCAACTAGGAGAAGGATCCAGTACCAGCAATGGAAAACTCTGGGGTTATTTTAGATTTATTTTATATTTTAGAATAAACAGTAATACTAACAACACAACAGAGTTGGAAGAAACTTTGGAGGTTTTCAACCCCATGCTCAAACAGGAGACCCTATACTATGTTTATATAATATAAATAAATATCACCCTTTTATCTCCCTAAATAGTGTTTCTACATCACCGGAAAAGCAAGATGTTTTGAAGGAAAGTTGGTTGCAACCAGAGCATCACACAGTGCGCTATGGCATAGAGAGAGTACACCAGCCAAAGCAATGGGTTTGCAAGGAGGCTATCTAGTTTTCATTAGCAACTATGTTTCTCAAATGAGCCACCAAGACATGAATTAAAGTTTAGAAACTAATTGTTTCATTAGTGAGCCAGGAAATTAGAAAATAATAAGCCAACATGTCTGGAGGACTAAAGGGAAGGTATTCTACTTTAATCTTCAGTAGAGATAAGCAACCTGTGGTCTATCTAGTTAGATTGCAACTCCTATGACAGTGATGGCGAACCTTTTAGAGACCGAGTGCCCAAACTGCAACCCAAAACTCACTTATGTATCGTCGGGGGCCGGGTGGGCGTGGCCCATTGGGTGGGCGTGGCTCCGGTGATAACGGCAGACTGGGTGGGACTAAAAAGTTCAATCAATCAATTCCAACTTTACAAGATCTTTTTTTTTCCCGCAAGTTGAAATTGACTGATAGAACCTTTTTTTTTTTGCACACAGCCGCCTAAAGTGAAAAAGTTTTATAAAACCCAGCTGAAGGCCTAGCACTGGGGCGACGGTACGCGTGCCCACAGAGAGGGCTCGGAGTGCCGCCTCTGGCACCCGTGCCATAGGTTCGCCACCACTGTCCTATGATGTCTCAGACCAGCCCTGTGGGCTAGATCTAAAAAGATGTTTTTTTTAAAAAAAAAAACACAGATATAGTTACTGATAGCCTATGCTCTTGTCTAAAGGAAATAACCACATCTCTATCTACGTCTAATGGGGAATTGGGAGATCACAAATCTTTTGAGGTTTTTTTCCTCACTTCAGTGCATTTGTTACCTAGGAGTCTGTTAACAATCAAAGCACCAGGCATCTTATTAAGAAATCAAGTGCAGACATGCCTTTCCAGAACTTTGCTTGAAACCACTGGACATAATATTTGCCATTCATTAATTCAATGTTCACACACAGGGAGGTTTTGCACTACTGTGACCACCCAATTTGAACATAGATATAGATACACAGATCTGACTTTTTCTATATCTTTTCCCCACAACATAGAAATTTTCAGTTGTACATCCAAAAGCCTTGTAAAGTGGAAACCAAGGTTCAGCTTGCAAGACTACTCTCTTCTTTGGGAATCAATTTCACTGAATAGAATTAGGATTAAGGATAATGAGGTTGTTCAAGGCGAGTCCTCTCTTAAGTGCCATGTAAGGACTTTAATTTGCTTGTGCAACTACACATCAATTTCTTCTTCTGAACTGCATTAATATTATTAATGCTAATAATTGATATTAGTAAAATAGTAAAAATAGTAAAATTATTGTTGTAGTTAATTAATATTACAGTAGGGCCTTAGGGATATTATACAGAATATTTCTAATGGGAGGGATGATTCTTACGTTCTAGAGTGCAGCAGGAGATGTTTCTGGACATCAGAAGGAAGAACCAACTAAGAACAGTTCCTAATCTGTTTCATTTCCATATTCAGAAGAACTAGAATTTGTACTGCTGGTGGGTCAATCCCCTGCATGTACCATAGGAGGTCAGATAAGAAAACAGAAAACAGCTGTATCTTCAGGAGATAAAAATTAATCAAGGTAGTTCTTGTTTAATGACCACAATGGGACTGGCTACTCAGTCATTAAGAGAATCAGTCAATGAGTGAAACTACAATTGTGCTTATGATCTTACTTCAGCTTTGACTTATAGATCTGCAAAAGTTGTAAACTTACTTTTTCATCACTGCTGCAATTCTGAATGGTCTTTAACTGAGGCAGTTGCTAAATGAGGACTACTGGTAAGGCTGTTTAGGAACACTATGGTTTCTCCAAATTAAAACCACTGCCACGTTCTGCCTAATTGTAGGACCAGTCCAGCAAATCTCTATTGAGACTGTCTCTCACTATCAGTGATATAAAATTCTGGGGTCTCAGCATCAAAAGAAACACGGTACTTTCTAAATAGCAAGAGGGGGAACATCTTCCCCATCCATCCCACCTGGTTCATCAGGGCATGCTGACAGAAGTCTCTAAAACAAATGGAAATTCCCTACAGATGGAATGCTTTGCTACAACTCTGGGAGTGACCTGTTGCATGGCTTCTCTCTGTGGGGAGCCATTCCTGGAATAACTTGCAGCTTGAGGTTAAGCTATTTTTGATTCAGCAGTTCTAATTAAGAAAAAAGATGACTAGGGAGGATTGTGAACAGGCTTTACTGGCATTCTCCCAGGTTTCTACTTGTCAGAGTTATTCTTTAATTTTAATAGATACCTGCCTGCCTGATCTGAATCCCTCAGATTCTCAGTCCTCTGGCAGAACAATCATATTCAGCTGCTAGATAAAAAATTAAGTAGTTATGCAAGAAACAATAAAGTAAACACAATCTGTTTTTCAAAAATATGAATCCATTCATCATGCTTTTTTTCCATGCAATTCATCTTTGAGAAAATGCGTGACCTCAGAATTTTTTTTGTGCCTTCAAGTCAGTGTTCTTTCTTCTATATACAGCCCAGAGTCACATTATCTTAAGTTGGGCAGCCAC